CTCCCTTCTTCCCTCTCACCTTCCCTTCCCTTCCTTTCCCTTCCCCTTCTCCTTCCTCACTTTTTTTTCCCCTTTGAGACAAGTTCTCACTATATAGCCCTGGCTGGCCTGGAGCTCTCTATGTCAACCAGGCTGACCTTGAACTCACAGAGATCCTCCTGCCTTTGCCCCTGAGCGCTGGGACTAAAGGCCTGCACCACTGCACTTGGCCCTAAAGAGGGTTTTGTAATCACCAGAGTGGGTTTGTTATAAACGGGCGGCTCTGGTTCCCTTTTTCCTTCCTTACTCTCTCTGTCTCCTTCTCTCTCTCCCGTGTTTCTGTGTCGGGGCACTGAAAGGAGACTCTTGTCAGGCTTTGACACCTTAAACTTGGACAGCCAGCTTCCAGAACTGTGAAAATAAATTCAGCTTATTATAAATCACAAGGTTTACCTATTCTGTTATATTAACACAAGACAGGCTAACATGTTGTCAATATTTGCACAAGTCTGAAAGTCTGATAAACAGAATGGACCTGTGACCCGGAAGCAATAATAAAAATATTAAAAAACTTGCTCAATTCATTAAAAAGCGGGTGCACATGAAGAGAAAACTAACAATGAAATAGCCCATTTATAAAAATCATGATCACAAAAGTAAAATACAGTTTTGGCGAGACTTCCATGATTTAGACTTCTTCGCTGGGGCTTCTGAACATGCACATTGAAATAATTTTACAAGATGTACTTTAAACCTTCGAAATGTTTTCATTGGAGGGTGAGTTAACCAAACTTCCACCGTGGGGGATGGTATAATTATAACTGAAGGTGATGAGTGATTACCACATGGAAATTCTTTGCCCAGGTGGATTAATACAAGGATTCTTTGCATGCTCCTATCTACGTAGGAAATACATGAAATGAGTCAAAATGTCATCATCAATGATCTAAAGACCCAGGGGTTATTAAATCTTAATTTATGTCCTTCGACATTAAGAAAATTAAGCATTAAGTCGGGCGTGGTGGCACACGCCTTTGATCCCAGCACTCGGGAGGCAGAGGCAGGTGGATCTCTGTGACTTCAAGGACAGCCTGGTCTACATAGTGAGTTCCAGGACAGCTTGGGCTACAGGGAGACCCTGTCTCAAACAAGACTAAAAAAAGACAAAAAAGAAAAAAGAAAATTAAGCATTGTACATTTTATTAATAATAAAAAGGTAGCTGGGTGTGGTGGTACATGGAGGCAGAGGCAGGAAGATCTCTGTGAGACTGAGGCCAACCCTGGTCTACACAGCAAGTTCTAGGCCAGCTGGGGCTACAGGGAGGCCTTGTCTCAAAAACCAAAACCCAAAGACTCGATATGCCCGTTTAGTACATTTTCATTTATAAGACATTTCCATAAAGATGTCTGTGTTCTCAGTGGCCATTTAAGTCGGCTGAGAATTTTTCTCCTGGTTTGCAGATGATTACAGAGGCTCAGAAGGTTGTGAGATTTATCACTGCCCAGTTAGCAGCTGGCAATGCTGAACTGAGAACCTTGGCAAAATGATATGTTATCAGAGAGATCTGAGTTCAGATCAGGGTCTGAAGAGTGCAGTGAGATGTGAAATGCATTAGCCCCATGTCTAGCTCACAGCTAGTGTTCAGTACTCAGTCCCTTCCAGACTCCTCCACAGGTCCATGAGCCTGTCAATGACACTCTCCAGTCCCCCCAGCCCCCTTGACCTGTCCACCACCTGCTTTGGGGAAGGAGAGCTGGGGCAGCTCTCTGTGAGCTAGTTAGCATGCTACTCATGAGTGGGCCTCAGGGCTCATCTTTACTTACTTCTTCCCGAAGCTTCATCCCTGCGTTCCAGGTTTGCCTCTCAGCAGGGACAGAAGTCTTGGCATGCAATAGAAGAGGAGCCTCCACCGCATCCTTGAAATAGTGGGTATCTGCGCAAGAAGAAAGTTTTTAAGTACATACCTTGTGAGCTGACTGTGCTGGATAGCTTTAATGTCAACTTGACACACCTGGGTTGAGGGAGCCTCAATTGGGGAATTGCCTCTATTGGACTGGCCTGTGGCCATGTCTGAGAGGCACCTTCTTGATTGTTGTGGGATGTGGGAGGGCCGAGCCCACTGTGGGTGGTGCCACCCCTGGACAGGTGGGCCTGTGTTGCATAAGAAAGCAGGCTGAGCAGGGGCCAAGGGAGCAAGCCAGTAAGCAGCGATCCTCTATGGCCTGTGCTCCAGCTCCTGCCACCAGGCTCCTGCCCTGAGTTCCTACCTTGGGCTCCCTGATGAACTGTGACCCGAGAGACGTAAGATAAATAAACCCTTTCCTCCCCAAGTTGGTATTGGTCAGAGTGTTTTGTCACAGCAATGGAGAAACAAACTACGACACTGACTACATGAATTCAGCACAGTGCAGTTGGTAAAGTCTTCATACACTCACTGAGGCATCACAGCACAGGTACCAGAGTAGAAACTCTTTTTTTGCGGGGGAGGATTCAGGGAGGATAGAAGAAAGGCAGAATCTACTATAGAACAAATTTGCATTCTCAAGAGTAAAAATAGACAATGACCACAGGGGACATTGTGGAGGACACACTCGTAGGGTGTAGTGAGGACATGGTCAGGAGCCCAATGTGGAGGAAACACTGTCACAGCGGCAACCCATTGTACCACGCCTGGCAGATGAGACTGAGGTCCAAAGAGGAGCTCACGAGATCCTACAGTGTGTGGTCTTGGCTGCCCTTCATGTGTCATTCACCTGAGAAACTCTACTAACCCTCTAAGGTTTGCAATGTGCCACCCAGCTATTTATTTATTTATTTATTTATTTATTTATGGATGTAGAAGTTCTCCTACCTCAATCTTCTGAGCATAGGGACTATAGACATGAGCCACCATATTCAACCTGGCCTTCTCTTTAAAACATCTTCCTAGCGCCTACCAACCAGCCCCACCTTCTTATTTCCTATAGCATGTGCTTCAGCTTTGCCACAGTTCTCTTGATCTGTGCATTTTAGCTATGAGACCACAGTCTTCTTTAGGGGCTGCCTGTCCTTGTTTCCTCTGATCAGCTCTCAAGTGGTAACTGGCACAGCAGATGCTTTCTGAGTACTGAACACAAGATCATTCTCCTCCTCCTCCTCATCCATGTCCTCCTCCTCATCCTCCTCCTCATCCTCCTCCTCCCCCTCCTCCTCCCCTCCTCCTTCCTCCTCCACGTCCTCCTTCTCCTCCTCCTCGTTGTCATGCTCCTCCTCCTCATTCTCCTCCTCCTCGTCCTCCTCCTCCTTCTCCTTCTCCTTCTCCTCCTTCTCTTCCCCCTCCTCCTCTTCCTTTTCCTCCTCCTCCTCCTCCTTCTCCTCCTCCTCTTCCTCCTCCTCCTCTTCCTCT